GGGATCACATAGAGTAGGGATGGGATCACATAGAGCAGGGATGGGATCACAAAGAGCAGTAATGGAATCACATAGAGCAGTGATGGGATCACAAGAGCAATGATGGGATCACAGAGAGCAGGGATGGGATCACAAAGAGCAGGGATGGGATCACATAGAGCAGGGATGGGATCACAAAGAGCAGTAATGGAATCGCATAGAGCAGTGATGGGATCACAAAGAGCAGTGATGGGAACACAAAGAGCAGTGATGGGATCACACAGAGTAGGGATGGGATCACATAGAGCAGTGATGGGATCACAAAGAGCAGGGATGGGATCACAAAGAGCAGTGATGGGATCACACAGAGCAGGGATGGGATCACAAAGAGCAGTGATGGGGTCACAAAGACCAGTGATGGGATCACAAAGAGCAGTGATGGGGTCACAAAATGTGTGTGGAAATATACTTCTTGAATACCTTTGACCATTCCTGACTGGAAAAAGGTACCTGAAGACAAGAACGCGAATGAGAAAGTGCAAAGGTACTCACTTAGTTAGTACCATAGCTCTCTTAGCGAGACAGTATCTCCATTGAAAATGGGAGGATTTCCCCCTGTACCGGTCTACATTCCATATATTCTCCATCCACGGCAAAGCCCCCTTTCTTCTCGAATGGTATTAGCCGAAAAGCGAGAATCGGAATCATATCAACAAAAGAGCAGTTCACGTGTTTTCCACTTCTCATGGCTATCAAGAAATGCATCACTAAAACTCGTGGTACGTGACCACGCACTAGGATTAACCATATTGTGTCGTCATCAAACTTAGCGGACGGTGACAAAGCCAAGTAGGTAGAAAGCCGACTGACATAGGAGCAACCAATCACATAAAACTCTCCTTCTATAGTTTCCCAGTCTTCTGAAACATGCTGATCCCACGTTGGCAGTAAAGAGGTTTCCGTCTTCCACAAGGATCCTGATGAGGAAGCGTGATTTTCTTTTAAATCGTTAAATTTTGTTGAGTGAAGCAATGGGTTGTTGTGACAGGAAGTTGAACCTATGAAACTTTGATCTTCGTACAAGTATTGAGTAAGCTTGTTATTGCTGAATTGGTTGTGATTTAATCGATCAGCTGTAGCTTTTCTAGCCCGAGCCATCTTGACTCTGTTCTCTTCAGTTGCTCGAAGGAAAGATAACCGGCCTTTGTATTTACTTGGACCTGAAACAGAAACATTTTGAAATAAATGAGCAGGTGTATATTTCAGGGAAACACGTCTTTACTGCTAAAAATGGTAAAACCGAAAACAAATCCTACTAAGAATGAGGAACAGATTATTGTGTAAATCTTATTATTGTTATCATATTTTAATACAAACTATATGTTAGAGCAGTTACTTCAAAGGCAGAAGGACAAAAGTGTGACCTTATTCGAATCAAGCAGCTTCAGGTATTACCCAAGGCTACTGGTTAGGGCACTAATTAATAAAAAGCAAACCTATTTTGATTCGAGGACTGTATTGGAAGTCTTACTGAGTGATTTGAAGGTTCCTGTCAAACCGTACCGTACTTCTCCAAGAAAACGTAACACCTCGGAATCCAGAACGATATCAGCAATAACTCCCCAAAGAAACGAAGACAGAGAACACACAGAATCATCAACAGTCTGTAGTAAAATGATGTGTTTCTTCTGGACATCTCCTTTGATGACATTTAACACTGACGACGTCACACAGTCCAGTACGGTAGGTTCACTGGCCGAAACAAAAACAAAATGAAGCTGAGAGAATATTTATACATACATATTAGGCTGAATCTTATATACTGTTCAAATCATAATATCGAGTTTCAGGATAAAGTAATTATATTTCATTGTGCTAAGTTAACCCTATTTTTCCTTTTCTCTGTAATTTTCTTCTCAGAGCTACATACTGTTAGGATAAATTTTCATTTATACATGCTTTTTTTCTCGTTGGCTTTGAGTATGATATTTTCTTATGTTCTATATTTTGAAACCTAACATTTTCTGCGTGTGTGTTTTCTTTTCTCGTCAAATCATAAAATACGTACCCCAGTGCTTCGTTAAGACTAAAAGCTAGTCCGTTGCCTGACCCTCCAGGGATGACACCAACTGGTATCTTGATAGCTTCTCTCCAATCAGACCGCGCTAAGAGTCCGTTCACCATCTGTAAACAACGTGATTCATGTTTACACTAAGTTTTTAATTTTTCTTGATGACCTGTACTACGCACCTGCTTCTATCAAGTAACGATTCTAATAATGCAGTAAAAACAAGAACCATAAGCACGTAAGTGAAGCATTTGTTATCATTATATTATAGAGTACATCTATTCTATAAAGTTTTAGTCAGTATTGTTTATGTTTATTTTGTATCAACTCTGTATTCGTATATAAGCACAAAAATAAAAGCGTCAATCTTTTCAATTACATTTCAGAGTAGGAAAATATTAGTTCAAATTTCAATTTTACATAAAAAAGTTCTCTAAAGTTCAGTCTTAAAGGCAGTTATATAAATAAAGTTTATAGAAACATTAGTTAAAATTACTAGCAGCGTTTCCCAAATTTTTTTGGGCCATGGTCACTTTTCAACTGAGATAAAAAGCTTATGGAACACTAGACACGTGAAATATCGGTGTGGAGGGTATGTTGCGCTCGTAGCGCCCTCTAGATATATATATTATTCATTTATTTATTCAATCAAATTACATATCAATGAATTTTTACATTATAATACATTTTAGGTACAAACCTCTCCACTAAGATATTATGTAGAATAGATATGGCATCTTTTATAATTCTTCTTCAATGTGAAATCGATATTATCTAATTCTAATATATAGGAAAATATTTCATAATAAGTTATGATCGTGCAAAAAAGTGTTAAATATTTTATTAAAATTGAAAATCATGATTTTC